TTTTTTTTTTTTTACCACATTTTTATTCAATTTTTCATATGGTATATTCAGGAGAAAACAAAGTCAAACATGATAGGCAAAAAAATAAATAATTCATACAATTTTTGTTGCAGGAAGTGTATGCTTTCTACAATGCGGAGACACTATGACTTACACTGCCTGGCAAAAAAAGTCCTCATTTGGAGTTAAATAAACAAATACTTACGAGCCTATGACTTAAACATTTTTGCAGTGATTAATATGTTTCACCTAGAAACAATTATTTTAATCCTGACTGATGCAGCCCGTAGTTTCACATTTCTTAAACAACCATGTCAGAGAAATATCCCATTATCTTGGAAAAGATGTTTTCCTCTGTGTTTCAGTAGGGGCAAACTATTGGCTTGCATCCAGCTTAAAAAAACAACTGTGGAGATTGCTGAAATCGCATGAATTGGGTTAAGAACTGTCCGATGCATTATTTATCCCATTGAAAGTCTTTGGGATATGCTAGAGAAGGCTTAAGAGTATGATTTGATACTTCCGTCAATATAATTCAAGATCTCGGCCAAAAATTAATGCAACTCTCTGGGCTCTGGGTGGAAATGAAGATGACATAGTATAAGGTTGCCAAAACAATGCCAATAATGAATGTGCACTGAAATCAGAGCTAAGGACAGCCCAAAATGTACAATTTTTTTTTTTTTTTTTTGGTCAGGCAGTGTGTGGCATGAAGGAAAAACATCATCATAGAACGATCTTGATTTGACGCATGACATCACAACATAGACCTATAGTTGACAGTGGCTTGGCGTGACCTTGCTGTGGGTTTCACTAAAATACTTTGGCCCTGTGTAGCTCTTTATTTCGTGACCAAACTCATAATCACTGCCTTATGCATCCTATAAATCCTGAAAGCCATTGTCAGTAGCACCTCTGAAAGATATAAATGGATTTACATACGATACGGTGTCTGCTGGCTTGTGTTTTCTATAAGGTAGGTGTGAGAAATGCTTGTGCATAGGGATTTCTGTTAAATGGATTTTCATAAAAGAGGATGGGGGCAGCTTGTCGTGATGGAATGATTTCCATCTCACATCAATCTCTCTCTCTCTCTCACGCACACACACACACACACATTCTCTATCCCTATGTCTCTTAAATCTGTCTCTTTCTTACACATCTCCCAAATTCAAATTCAAATGGCTTTTTCTGACAAGACGCCCCAGAATATTAATGCCAATGCAATCCTTTGTGGGAATTAAAATTAGCTACTACAACTATGGTAAATAATTAAAATTAACACATGCTCATAAATAATCATGCATGATATCAATAACCGCCATAAATGCTTGGACCCTCAGCAATAGTGGTACAGATGTTTGGTTCTGTTATCAAAATAAAAGAGTAATAATCAATAACTGTCGAACATAGTTCAATATATTTCTCTCTCTCTCTCTCTCTCTCTCTATAAATTCTGTCCATCTGAAGGCTGGCACTAGCCTCTAAGGCTGCTCTGCGAGACGGAGGGGAATATTCCACGAAAGACGGCAGCCGTGACATAATCGCAATCTTGCTTCTCGGCTGCGTGGCGCCCTTGCGTTCAATCAGCTGGCATTCAGGTCCCATGAATATGCATCCCCACGCTCCAGCTCTACCGCGGTGCCAAGGCGGGAGGTATGAATACCGCCGTGCCCGCCAGTCAAACCGTTACTACAGCTGACAAAAGTCCCACTCGCCAAGGCCCGGACCGACCAACGATCACCCGGCCTTTCATTCTGCTTCGCCTGCTTTCCTGTGCGCTTTCAGAAATGTTCCGGCTCACTTTTTCTGTGTATCTCCACAGCTGGTGTAAGGGCTCCAGACCATCAGCACATAGGCTATATAGCAGGGCTCCCTAAATGTGGCCCTCAAACCCGATGCAAGCCCTGCTTTTTATCCTTCTAGGCACTTAGGTGAACAAGTATTGCGGCTCACAGGCCAGACTGTCATCAAACCTGACTCCCAGATGAAGAGAGGGTGGAAAACCAGCAGTTCTCGGCCCATGAGGACCGTGATTTGGGAAGCCCTGCTATACCACAGCAATGTCTGCTGTTTTTAAGTGTCTTCAAGCCCAGATGAAAGCTCATACCTGAGTGTTGTGATGGAGGCTGTGGCTTTGTGTCAGACCCTCAGCGCAGGATCCATAAACAAAGGCCTTCGCTCTGCTGCCAACAGTGAATTATGGGCATCGACACAACTTAATCTATCTGTCAAACACAAATACACCTGACGGTTCCCCCTTCACTTGGCCAAGGATGACTCCACTCACAGACTCCATCACACAGAAACAGCAACAGCCTTCAATAACAAGGGCTTTCAATTGAGAGACTACACACTGAGGAGTGCAAGTGACATCTTAAGTATCGCTGTTGGTCATCTATTGCTGAAACAAGTTTTCTTTCATTTACGCCATGTTGACTATCAAATAGCACAAGGGGCCTTTTGGGGTCCATTTGCAATTATATGGGTTGTTCTGGAGGGTCTTTCTCCCAAACTAATTTGAGATATTTATCCTCTCCCTTGCTGCATTTGGCTAATGAAAGCTGCTCCAACAGCTGCAAGTGTCCAGCTACAGAGTCCCGATATTCTGACTGCTGATAGGGTCATTATGTACAGTGTGCCACTAGTTCTTAAATACATTACCCACTACTCGTGGTAACGTCCCTCACTCACCCACGGCCCATATTTCAAATAATCTTGCATGAGGCGTAGCGTAGCCTTCCAAGCAGAACCATAGTAAAAGGCAGCAAAACAGTTTGCTGGTGAAATGCAGCCCCCTGCAGCTCGGTAGGCTTTCTTTCAGGACCTTAACTGCCAGAGTCGAGGCTAATTGGCAATAAGCCCAGCTGCTGTTCCTCGTCTTCATCAGGACTTGTTACGGAGGCACAGCCTGTCGAGCCTTGGGAATGAAGTCTGAGCGGGAACAGTCTGTTTTTATGAGACACTCCAAAAACACTCTTTCAGTTTGGCCCAATATAATCTTCACAGCCTTGGGGGGTGAAGGAGTTGCAAAACCTGTTGTACATTTTAGTTTAGTTTCTTACTTGAAATAGTTTGGCTTTGGAGCTAAAAAAAAAAATTCTCGCTTTCTGTTGACCTGAATTTATCTCCAAGACAGAGCAGCTCTAGGAAAGCTTGTTTTGAAGAATAAAAAGACCGTGGCAAAGTCATTGTCTGTGGTATTTTCTTGTGCTAGCATGCGCTAACAGGAAGCGTGAAAGGCTATGGCAGGATCCTCAGTTTTGTTTGTTTGCTCTCCCTTTCCCTTGGTCTCAGCATGAAATCAACAGCCTTTCCCAAGCGCAGCTAGACTAGTTGTCTGCAGCTGGCAGGCCTGGACATTTATGCCCGAGAAGGCATCGAAATTTGTGGAACTGATGCCATGGAGTAGTAGCGCTAGGCTAGCCAAGGCAAGCACGAAGAGAACAAGAGAGTAAGTGGCAGGACTGAGAGCCCGGAGTCCAGACTATTGCTTGTGGCCATTAAATCGCAATCTTTCATGCTCCGTTTTGCTTTAATCTTTCATTCCTTGCCCATTTAACCGCTCTTTTTCATGCATTCGCCCGGATCTCTTCGTCATGTTTTATTTAGAGGTTGTTAAAGCCCCTCCGTTTAAAGAGCTAATCGCACATTAAATGCCCTTCTGTCATTCCTCTGAAAGGCAAATTTCAGTCTGGCCCATCGTCAGGTGGGGTGGGGCGGGGAATGGTCGACCAAAAGCCCAACTCCCTGCCTCGCACCCCTGGTCAGTACCCAAATCCTAGTAAAAAAAATAATAAATGAATGAAGTGATATAGGCAGAGAGCCCCAGCTGCATGCTGTTGGCTGGACTGGGGCGTTGGCATGGCAGCCATCATGGAGACAGGGAAGGGGAGGGGGGTCAGACAGTAGTGAAGCATCTCAGATGTACGTACACTGCAGATAGCCTCAAGGAAGCTCACACTGACAAGCTTAGATGCTAAATGGGGGGGTAAGAGAGCATGCCTTACCTGGGGGACAGCAGGGAGAAATGACATCACGCTAATAGTGTGACTCACACAGTGAGCAGCAATGCACCAGCCTTATACCTATGATCCCTGTTTTTCGTCATCTATGACACCAGAGACCATTTTCATACAAACCTCTGCTGCTAGGCATTTTACCCTCCCTCCCCACCCTCCCAAATCCTTTCCTGTGTCCACAGTGTGACCAGGTGCCTTTCTCCTTGAACTGGAACACTGAGCGCATCACATTTACCAACATATACAGTCATGGATGAGGCGGACACAACTGAGAAAAGAGCCAGCTTAAAGGTTCTGGCCAAATGCTTGGTCAACAACACCAGCAATAGCATTAGCCAGTGCTGTAATGATATGACATAAAACACCATCCTTGGTGCAAAAGGGAGCTTGAATATGAAAGGTGTAGAGAACAAAATGTTTTCGAGGGTGCGGCATTGTATTGGGTATAAAAAAGAGAGATTGAAAAAACCCTGTTGAAAGCACAGCAGAGTTCAAGCGGGGAAACCGCTGCGTAGCGACAGTGCATTTCCTCGGACGAACCCCCTACCCTGCCCTCACATGCCCTGCCCCCCCAGCACCCACCTGGCGCTGAGATGAAAGCAGCAGCATGCTCGTCCTGGTCTCAGGGTGCCAGTTTGCCTTCCCCGCGCGGCGCGGAGTGGCACCTTTATGGGCTATGGCTGCCAGGCACATTGCAGAGACAGATGGGCAGGCACGACAGAGGCCCTTGAGACTCGAGGCGAATGGTCCGTCACAGCTGGTACCGCTGACCCATGGTAATGAACTGGGTCAAAAGGGTTGCGCAGCCCTAACCCCGGCTAGCCAATGGAGTGGCTGGGACGGACGATGACACGCTATGGCAGAGGTGCGCGAACATTTTACTCGCGTCACTCGTGCAGTGTGCCATCTCTTTCAATAGCCATGACAACCAATCTGCTAGTTTTCAAATCCAAATCCCCTTTGTCCTAATAATTTGGCGGCATGGTAGCACAGTGGTTAGCGCTGCTGCCTCGCAATAAAGAGGTGCCGGGTTCGAGCCCAGCCGGCCAGGGCCTTTCTGTATTGAGTTTGCAAGATCTCCCCGTGTTCGCGTGGGTTTCCTACGGGTACTCCAGTTTTCCCCACCCAGAAAAACATGCATCATAGGAACAATCCTACTAGTGGCCCTGACTAATGAACTGGCTTTAGGACTGGAGTTGGTCCCAGGGCTCTGTGGATGCCTGCTGATCCTAACTGTAGAATGGATTAAATCTAGAGGGCAAATTACCCCATGGGGTTCAATAAAAGTATATGTTTTTTAAAAGTATGAACAAAAATTTAGCCCTCACCCATTGTGACATGCTAAAATCAGGCCCAAAAAATTTGAAGAGTTCCTTTTTATGAAAATGGCACCAATTCCTGAGATGATCAGTGAAACACACTGAAATAGAAGCTGAAAGATATTTTAGTTCAACCTCATATTCATTCTCTCACTTTCTCTGTACTGCTTTGAAAAATTTTATAACATGTCACTGTGTCCAGATAGTACAGGACTGCTCTGTACGTGAGCCGTAACGATCATGGTTTTAGATCCCAGCTCAGCAGCGATTTAGGCCCGAGGGTCTGTCAGCCTCCTGCTGTGTTTTGAAAAAGGCAGAAAGATGACGCTGCACTTCCAGAGCCGTGTAGCGATCTTAAAAAGATTTTCTGCCGCAACAGACCGCCATTAGCGGTGCATTAAAGAAGCAGCCAGAGTGTTTAACATCTTTTGTAATTAAATATTCATCAGAAATGTACTTGACTAATGGAGCCATAATTTATTTCCCTTACAGGTTCCATTAGAGAAAACAAAATGGGATACATCTGTGTGTCATGCGCCCCGAAAGCTTTGTGTGCACCTGTCGTTCCGTGTTCGCGCATTAAAATGTAACTTCCAGCTGTCAAACACAAGGCCATAGGAGAATCACAGTGAGGAATGGATAGTTCCTGTAATGGTGTCTAATTAAGGCTTTTAATTCAGAGTAAGCAGACGGGCAGCAGACAGCGTGGTCTGCTGAGAAATGACTTGTTTTAAGAGACTTTCCAGAGTCGTGACAAGCTAAAACGGTCCACTTTAGAGTAGCACTCATGAAAGAGCCGTGAGTCATTGTCTCACTGTTAAACAAATCGGCTCATTCATTATTCCACAGTGGCGCTGTGAAGTTTGAAGGTGTAAGTCTGATACCTCAAGCCAGTGCAGAGTGGTGTTGTGTTTGTCAGTGTACGTCTCACTCTGCCTGCCTCTTCGCCTGAAAGCCACGGGTGCCAAAAAGACGGATAACCGGAGGACGAGTGGGATCTCTGATCAGCCTCAGGGCTGGTGTTGTTGCTGTTACGACAGTCAACGGAGATCTCAGGAGGCAAATTTTCAGCATTAAGCTGGCGCTAAGAGCGGGTGAGCCTGGCACTGACAAACTCTTCTGAAGTAACGTGACTGGACCACGAAGGATTACAACAGCGACAAGTCACTATGAGAACAGCCTTCTAAAGGGAGGTTTGAATCCCGCCTTTTCACTGTAGGGTGGAGAAAAATGCTGGAACCCAGGACCACATGCAACCAAACAGTTGGAAAACTGCTCCGAAGGGAATCTATGTGTTCAGTAGCTCGGCTTTGCACGATTGCTTCTCTCTGAGGGGAACTTGGTGATGGTCCAGAATTGAACAGACCTACCAGCATCATATTGCTTATGGTTATATCTGTGCCTTTCTGCTAAGCAGAAGTACTGTTAATGTCTCATTTGAATCTCTCAAGGAGGAGCTGCATCAATGCTGCAGTTATGGATAATATAATCTCTTCATTTCTACCCTGCTTATTCCTGGTAATTCACTCATTCACTTGTTTGAATAAACAAACTCCTCCCAGACTCAGAGACAACATGCAAACTCCCCACAGAATCAGAGAAAACATGTGAACTCCTCACAGAATCAGAGACAACATGCAAACTCTGCACAGAATCAGAAACAACATACAAACTCCTCATAGAATCAGAGACAACATACAAACTCCTCACAGAATCAAAGAAAACATGCAAATTCTGCACAGAATAAGAGACAACATACAAACTCCTCACAGAATCAGAGACAACATGCAAACTCCGCACAGAATCAAAGACAACATACAAACTCCTCACAGAATCAGAGACAACATACAAACTCCTCACAGAATCAGAGACAACATGCAAACTCCGACAGAATCAGAGACAACATGCAAACTCCGCACAGAATCAGAGACAACACGATAAAACAGAATCAGAGTTTACAACACCTCCTCACAGAATCAGAGACAACACGCAAACTCCTCACAGAATCAGAGACAACATGCAAACTCCTCACAGAATCAGAGACAACATGCAAACTCCTCACAGAATCAGAGACAACATATAAACTCCTCACAGAATCAGAGACAACATACAAACTCCTCACAGAATCAGAGACAACACATCACAGAATCAGAAACATACAAACTCACAGAATCAGAGACAACAACACTCCTCACAGAACAAACTCCTCACAGAATCAGAGACAACATGCAAACTCCAGAATCAGAGACAACAGCAAATCACAGAATCAGACAACATACAAACTCCCGATCAAGAAGACAGAATCAGAGACAACATACAAACTCCTCACAGAATCAGAGACAACATGCAAACTCCTCACAGAATCAGAGACAACATGCAAACTGCTCAGAATCAGAGACAACACAGAATCAGAGACAACACATCGCAAACTCCTCTCGTACCACATATTGAAAATAAATGTGTAACGATCTTGAATCAGAGAAACATCCTCACAGAATCATTCAAGAGACAACATGCAACTCCTCACAGAATCAGAGACAACATACAAACTCCACACAGAATCAGAGACAACATACAAACTCCTCACAGAATCAGAGACAACATGCAACTCCTCACAGAATCAGACAACATACAAACTCCGCACAGAATCAGAGACAACATACAAACTCCTCACAGAATCAGAGACAACATGCAAACTCCTCACAGAATCAGAGACAACATGCAAACTGCTCAGAATCAGAGACAACACGCAAACTCCTCACAGAATCAGAGACAACATGCCACTCCTCACAGAATCAGAGACAACATACAAACTCCGCACAGAATCAGAGACAACATACAAACTCCTCACAGAATCAGAGACAACATGCAAACTCCTCACAGAATCAGAGACAACACGCAAACTCCTCACAGAATCAGAGACAACATACAAACTCCTCACAGAATCAGAGACAACATGCAAACTCCTCACAGAATCAGAGACAACATGCAAACTCCACACACAATCAGAGTGCACATACAAATTCCACACAGAATCAGAGTGCACATATGAACTCCACGTGGAAAGGCCCAGGCTGATGAGCCGTGGATCTTTCTGCTTCGAGGTGACCATGCCACCCTGAATCGTTTCATTTAGACTCATTTAGTATTAGAACGGTGTAGGGGTCAAAGTGACACCGTTAATTAGCGTTTTAAATCTTTTAGGCTCCTCACCATGAGAGCGTCCTGCTGGCTTGAATTAGTACAATGAACAAAGAAATGGAATATGCAAATTAGTCTATTACCAGCCCCAGCATTACAACAGTACGGGTTATTTTGACCCTGAGTTAAAAATGCATGGCATGACTCTTAATGGGGTCCGGGTATAGAATTATTTTTAGGCTTAAGATTAGTATAAAGGTTAAGGTAGCATTAATGTTACACTGCAGGTGTAGGGTTCAAGCTGGAACAGTGAGTTCGTTAGACGGGGGGTTATGGTCGGGTGATAGTTCAGCTGTGTTTTTCAGCAAATTTCATTGAACAAGCTAATATTGATATGATAGCCCTGAGGAAGTGGATAAGGTCGTAGAGTAACAGAAACAAAAACAAAAACAGCCTTAGCTGTATCTGCTGCAATGCATATCACCAAACATAATTACTGGATAGCCAAATATGATTACCGAGTGAGACCAGGTAGGTTGTTTCTGATTTCAGTTCTTGTTCCAGTTTTGGAAGGCTTCTATTTTTCTGAACTGCTCCGGAATTTGGGAGAATAATGAGAAATTACCTTTGTTTAAGAAGAATTCATATTGGTCTTATTTTCAGCTAAAATTAAATCACATTTTTAGGCATCCATGGTGACATAAATTAATAAAATAGATTTATGACAAAAGCTGTTTTAGTGCAAACTGAGGAAAGTTCATAAAAATATAGTTCATTAAAATAAAGTCAGATGTCCTAAAAGTGAAAAATGCTCGAGGTGTAATTTTTCATGCAAATGGATGGGACATCATCTTTATTCAATTGCACAGGTGGAATAAAGCGAGTAAAATGTGTTTGAAGGTATTATGATGAAAAATCTGTTCCAATACTAAATCATTGAAATACTCCTAAATGGGGAAAAATTTGCTGTATTTAGCAAAAAATACTGGTAAATATTGAATTTTTCATCTACAAAATTTTTCATTCATTTTTACCTCCACCAAAGAGGTTATATGATTGGTCAGGTTTGTTGGTTGGTTTGTTTGTTTGTTTATTCATTTGTTTGTTGGTTAGTCAGCAGGATTACACAAAAAATAATGTATGGATTAGCATGGAAAAAAGACATTTTGAGTCATATCTTCACAATTGCACGAGGATTTGAAATGATAAAAAATTGAAGGGCATTATCTCAATGATTTCAAGAAAATATCACAAACTAATGCTGCTGACAAAATGAGTGTTGTCAGCCTTTGAGGAGGTTTGCAATTTCATTTACAATTCAGACAAAAGAAATGTATCAAGCGATCAGGGTGACATAAATAAGGAAAAAAAAGTCATTCTTTTATTTCAAACCAAGCTAATTACATGTGCCATAATCCTTTGTCCCAAATGTCAAATATATAACTGAAGAAATAAATGCACTTTCATTTACATAATTTGCATAATGCATGTATTATTCTGGCATGTTGGAAAAAAGTACAAGTGTTCGGGAAATTCACTATTTACTTCTGCAGAGAATCATCATCTGAATATGGAGCCCAGTCACATCC